CCTAATCAACGCCTTGGTGCTGCCGATGACTATGCTGAGAACCGCCTCGATGCTGGTCAACCCCTCCACCTGTCCGCGTCTGCAGACTAACACCCACTGTAGCATAAACCAGGTGACAGAGACGTTAAAAGGAGAGGAAATTTGCTGACAGAAAGTTGGGGCAGATCTAACAGACTTCATCGCCCTTTTCTCCCCTGAGTTAGAAACGGTTTCCCTTTGGTTCCTTTCTAGCCCCCTCATTTGCTTTCATCTCAAGTTTCAGGACGTAAATGGTGAAGGAAAATACGGGTACTTCAGTGTGTCGCAGGCCCAGCAAGGACTGGTTTTTATGGTAACTAGACAACAAGTGCTGAGTCCTGGCCGAGACCGGGCTCTTGAGGAGGGTGGGCAGTTTCTGCCCCAGGATGGGCGGCCCGTAAGTACCTGTGATGCGGGTGGATGCTGTTCCTCTGGGCGTTCCTGGATCTACTCAGCCTTTACTCTGAGGGTATTTTATTTCTGCACAGTCCCCCATGGGTGTGTTGGGTGACGGGGATGGCGGGCTGGTGGGCGGGGCAGAGAGCCCCACGGTTGGGCCATCTCAGGCCCGTCCAGCCCAGCTCCTGGGACCCTGCCAAGCAGCTTCATAAATCAACTCTCTCCACCATTTTTTTTTTTTTTTGCTTTTTAATCACTTATGTGGTTTGTTAATAAAATTTTGTAGTGTTAATTTCTTAATAATTGGCTCCAGGACATAGGCTGTAAATCAGTCTACCCCAAGTTGCCTTTTTACAGGAACTCTCAGCGCTCAGCTGCTAAATTTCCCATCCAAGCCTTTCTTTCTGTTGTTTTTTTAAAAAATATATATTTATATATTTTTATTGATTTTAGAGAGGAAGGGAGTGGGAGAGAGAGAGAGAGAAGCATCAATGATGAGTGAGAATCATTGATTGGCTGCCCCCTGCATTCCCCCTATTGAAGACCGAGCCCACAACCCAGGCATGGGCCTGACTGAGAATCTAACTATGACCTCCTGGGTCATAGGTTGACACTCAACCGCTGAGCCATCTGACCGGGCCATCCAAGCCTTTCAAAGGCCTGCTTTCTCACTTATTACAAAAATAAGGGAAGCTGTTGCCATCCCATTTTCCAGGAGCTATTCCTGCTCCCTGGCATAGCTTCCCCTCCCATCCCCCACACATCTTTCACTCCTCTCTGGATTTCTTATTAAGCCACGGCTTTTAGTTTCTGACCCTTAGTTCCCCCCTCTTAGCTTTATAGGTTTTTCTGGTTCCTCAGCTTTTCTAACATTTCCTGTTTGCTGGTGGAATCTCATCACCAACGTGTTATGAATTCCACCCTTCCCGGTCAGTGGACGGTCTCCTTGCCGTGCCCTTCCTCACCCACCACTCTCATGGGACATTGCTCCCTATCTGCCGGCCACAGCAGGGCTCCCGACAGTCCTCGCTCAGAAATCTGACAGCCTCATTAGCAGCCATCAGTGTCCCTTTAGCCTCTTAATATTCTCTCAAAGCCCCCACCTCATCAGGAAGCTTCTCTCTCTCTCTCTCTCTCTCTCTCTCTCTCTCTCTCTCTCTCTCCCCCGCCCCCTCTCCAAGGCAGCTGCTGGTGCAGGTGAGGGTGCTCCTACATGACCCCATGTCCTCCCCGCAGTGGGCATTCGAGTATATGAGGGCTCTGGGCGGAAACCCTTGTGTCTTCTGTGGCTGTCTGTCTTGGTCCTGGCTAGACGGGTCCTACTGTCATCGGGGGAAAGCCGTCATCCCATAGCTCCAATGCTTCCACTCACCAGCGACTGGCAGCTGCTGGTACAGGTGAGGGTGCTCCTACATGACCCCGTGTCCTCTCCGCAGTGGGCATTCGAGTATATGAGGGCTCTGGGCAGAAACCCTTGTCTCTTCTGTGGCTGTCTGTCTTGGTCCTGGCTAGACAGGCCCTACTGTCATCGGGGAAAGCCATCATCCCATAGCTCCAATGCTTCCACTCACCAGCGACTCCTGCTTTCGTTTTATTCCAATACCCTGTTATTTAAATCTTTGAAAGTTGTAATAAAAATGTGCATCATACATCCCACTGAGTGTTGCCCAGGGTTTGGGAAGGCACAGGGACTATACGCTAGGATTTTTTTTTCAGCCACATTTGACAGTTGCTTCTCTGGGGACGGGGGATGTCGAGTCAGGCAGTTCAGCGATGTGGAGAAGAGAAGGCTTTGGAGTCTCTCTGTGCTGGTCTTTCCCATGACTCGTTATAGAGCGAGTTCGCTCGCAGTGGCAAAAGGTGGCTCTTGAAGGGCTGGACTGCTCGAGAGGCCAGACCGCACATCCCGGGTTTTGGAACAGAGAAGACAGGGGAGTGAGGAAGAACAAGGCCTGAAGAGTGACCCTCTCAGATGAGGGCACACGGAACCTCTCAAGTTCAATCTCCACCACAGCTCGCAGCCCTCCCAGAAGCAGGAGATAGAAAACATACCACGCACAGATTTGTCTTCTTTAGAAAAGAGCACAACTCCAGTCTGTTTCCTGGGGGAGGTTCTGGGGGAGATAAGAAAGGAGCAATCTGGTAGTAGAAAGCAGAACTCAACTCGGGTGACGGGAAAGTTCAGTGGAGAGAAGTCTTCAGTACAGTCCAGCAGTGATCAGGAAGGTCTTCTAGGAGGAGGCAGCTTGTGAGTTGTCTTGAGAGGGAGAAGGAGGGGTGTGGTGAGAACAAAAAGATGGAGCAGGAAGGTATGGAGTGGTGCTTTTCTACAGGTAATAGGGCTAAAATCACCACAGGCATCTGTTTAAAATGTAACCTCTGAGGCCGTACCCCAGGGAGTGAATTAGAAGGTCTGCCCAGGGCCCAGGGCTTAAAGAGACGCAGGACCCCGAGGTGGGAAGGCGCTCAGGCTACAGCATCATGGAAGCTGTGTAAGGCAGGTCCAGGTAACCATGAAAAGCTCGGTTTGCTTTACATTCTTGATTTAGAGCAGGACTTATAAATTAAATACCTACAGGAATCAGGCTGGGACACGCAGTGAGAGAGGTGGATTGGATGTCAGTGGACATGTACAAAGTGTCTCTTCCTACAGGTCAAGGAGCAGCAGCCACTTCCCTCCAGCAATTACTGCCCTTTAGGAATGGGTACCGAGGACACCAGAGTTTTCCACTTTCAAGAGAAGCCTGACACCTAGGTTTTATGTAAATCTTCCTCCTCCCATGATTAAATAGTGGATTAAAATTCCATGAGCACCAAACAATTCCATGAGGGCCACTTAGTTGGCAAGATTAGAGGGGCAGAACCAAATCTTATTGTCTGTGGACTTGACTGATAGATAAAACATGCAAGAAACTTCATAGGCTGCTGTGTACCCTTGGGATGGAGTGGAGGCTCCATAGGAGGCTCTTCCAGTTGTGCAGAGGGGACAGAAAAGAAAGGAGAGTATGACAGGTGCTGAGAAACAGGAGTCGAGGAGATACGATTGGCTGTGGGAGGAGGATGGAGAGAGGAACCACCTAGAGACCGCTAGGTCTAAATACGTGCTACCTCTAATCTTCCTTATTCATGAATGCACGCTTATGCTTCAGTTTCATTCATTCTGCAAAAAGATAACTCAGGTTGCATTCTGCTCAACAGGGAAATTTAGAGTCATTTCTTTATAGGAGAAAAAAAAAGCACAGACAAAATATTTTATAGTATCTATAATAAATGCAAAGAAATCAATACAAACAAAACTTGGCTTTAGCAAACTGTACATACATAAATATCTCTTTTTTTACTATAACATTCAACTTTTTTTTCACATAAATCCTTCCATGATTTTATTTATTACATCCAGTTTTTCTTTATACTTTTTAAAAAAGTGCCTTTTAGATTTACAGCTTGTGCTTCTAAAGCAAAGGTTAGAATATCATGCCCCAAAGAAAAACAAGGCAAAAAGAAAGCTGCCATATAAGCTCTTCAAAATTGTATGTTACAAGGCTCAGCACTGGTTGGTTGGTAGACCGTTCGATACCAACGTGGCGCTCAGGTGGCGTCATTTAATGAATGGATGGGGCACACCGTGGGAAACTTGCCCAGATGGTGTGCTAAAGTCCTGGCTGTGCATAGAATGGGCCAAAGGCCCAGGACACATGCGTCCAGGGAACGTTGGAGGTACTTCATCTCTTTAGTACTGAGGCTCAGAGTTTCAAACAACATTTCTTCCACACCTTCTTCTATTTGCTCTCCTTCTGTCATTGTTTATCCTCCACCTCCGAAGCCATGATTTGGACACATGGCTAACGCCACCACTCAGAAGGCCTTCGCCAGCATCCAGGTGCTCCTTTTGCTAGTTTGGGTTGGCTTTGGGCTAAACCCTCCTTGCACGACCAGCACCGCTGCAGATGGCATCTGCTTGCTTCAGAGGGGAGGAGGGCCATTCGTGTATCTGAGCATGGGATGGAATGACCGGGCAAAATTGTTGGAGAGGGCACAGCTGTAGTCTTCCTCGGACATTGGTACCAGGCAGGCGAGCCCGATGAGGAGCAGCAGGAGCAGCTGAAGGGGAAGGGCTGCTCTGAGGACTCTGTACAGGAAACCTCGGCCCGACCGAGCTGGCTGAGGCTCAGAAAGGGAGGAATCGGAGCCACCTTTTATGGACCTGAGAGAGGAATCAACAGAAGAAACTCAAATATCTCAAATGTTGGATGGATGCTGCTTTTAGCTCCCTCACCGTCTTGGAAGCTACAGGACCATGCCAAACACAACCCGACCTGGCCATTAGCCGCCCGCCTTCTGCAGTGTGCCCAGGTCATCCCCCCACCACCCAATGAAGAGATTTTTGGAAATTGTACTGATGAAAAGTTAACATTTAGTCAGTCAACGAAAGGTAACTGAGTTCAAATTCCACCCTTTAATTTGGTAAAACATTTCCCATCAACAAAGATAACTGCTCTATACACATTCTATCAGCATAAATTAAGTTGATCCAGAATAATTAAGATGTGGATGTTTGATGCAGTATATTTTTGGGTTAAGACTACCAGGAGCACTAGTAGCCAAAACTAGTTGCTGTTAGAATCACTTGAAGTATCCCGTCTAGTCCTCCCAGATGTGCCAAACTCCATGCAGCGAGGAGGACAGCCCCAATCATTTTGCACAGACCCATAAAGCACAACTAATCTTAGAGTACCCTGGTTTCATCTTGCACTGACTCAGCACTGACTCAGCATCTGTCCCTGGCATCAGTGGGTTCTGACGCTGTGTGAACAAGGATGGCAATAGAGTCGGTGTACAGAACACTGGTGTTGAATGACTTAGAATCTAGGCTGATCCTATTTTTTATCAGCTGTGACTTTGGGAAACAGACACAATTTTTCTGAGGACAGATGGTCATTTTGTAGGCTCCTTCTACTCAAAGTTCTATGTTCTCCTGTCTACATTTATATCTTCCTATCTACTAAAATGTGCATTTGAGATTAAGCATGAATTCCACATTTCATAAGAAAGACTGCCTGAAAAACATTGAATGTGGAAGTAGGTTCTGGGTGGGGGCAGAGGGGGCACCATTGTTTTTTGTGTGTGAGCATCCTTTAATATTCTGTTTGGTTACTTGTGGAAAAGATGAAGAGAGAAATATTATTAAAAAGAGACATTTTGCATACACACATACACACAAACACACAATATTGTAGGAGCAAAAAGACTAGGTGTGCTGACAAAACACATTCCCCCACCTAGTAAAAATTCCCTAGTGGCAGTAATATCACTAAGGATAAGGACAATGAATATGAGGCCACTGGAGAAATAAGAAGGTGCGAAAACTGTATTGGTTACTCCGTATGCTTTTCTAAGAAAACACTAAGTTTCCAGCTGGACTACTCAAGACTCTTTTATTAAAACCATCAAAGAAATATGAGAGGCAAACAGACCAGGCCTCTGGAAGCCCCTAGGAGCATGTGGCCCACTGTGTCTTCAGCAAATGTAATGAAAGAAATAAGTCATTGGCCAGAATTGGGACTCTGTTTCTTTTCTGAAGACTACAACTAATGGCTGTGTAACCTTGAACAACTCACTTTATCCCTAAATGCCAACCTCTTACTCAACCCCTTCAAGTTAGACTAGATGGCCTTCCAACTCGGAAGTTCCGTGTTTTATACATTGGATGTCTTCTACTAATTAGTCAGCGTAAATAGTCGGCCAACTAAGAGGCCACAAGAGTTCAATCACCATCTAGTGGTCAAACTGATTAACCGTCCTTATGTTAAGACCAATGAGTTATTCCTAATGAGCTAAATAGGAAATTTGTATATTTTGTGAAATACAGTAGAGGGTAAAAGAACAATGGCACATGCCTACTAATGGAAGGGTAAAATAGGAAATTCTTGAGTTTTCTAATTATAAAATATTCATGTTGAGAGAAGGCCTTATACAGTATATAACCTATCTTCTAATTTTGTAGATATTGGTAAGGATAGTTAACATTTTTCTAATTGCTAGGCAATGTACTAAGCATTTATCTTGAGTTCTCTCATGTAATCCCCAGAATAGTCCTCAATGTGCTTGTTATCTTCATTCTATAGATGAAGAAAAGGAGGCTCAGAGAGGGGAAGTAACCAGTGATTTACAGCTTGCAAGTGGCAGAATTAAGATTTCAACCCTAGGATTTTAACTTCCAGAATTTGGACTCTCTAGAGAAGGTAAATGACTTGCCCCAGATCCCAGGATTAAAGGCAGAGATCCAGCAGGAACTGAGTCCCAATATCCCTGCCTACCATACTCACAGCAACATTTTGTTCCCTGACATTGATGAAGGTCATCTGGGTTATATTATTTTACAGGTATCTTACATGTATTTAAAAAAAGAGAAAAATATTCGTGTCCTCAAATGTTTGGAAGTCAGTGGTTTCTTCATGTTGAAAATAAATGCCTCCAATCCTGGGGGCTCACAGTATTACATGGATCATCAAGTTAGCACATGCACAGGGGGACATTTTGTGTTCAGACAGTTGCACAATCTTGGCCAAGCAGCACAGTCTCTCTGGTCTGGCCTTCAGTTTTCTTATTTTCAAAGCGAAAGGTTGCATTAATATCCTAAAATCTCTTTGGCTCTGGCAGTTCATGATTCAATGGTTTGCCTTAAAGTGTCTTAAGAAGGATGGGATATTTGCCCGTGAATTCTGGGTTGAATTTTTCTTCAAAAATACCTTTTCCTTTTCTCTTACAATGTGCCCTCCCCACCAGTCACTGGAGGAGTTATAACTGAAGCACAAAAGGGAGCTCCACATTTCCTCACCACTCAACATTTAAATAAAATGAGAAAGATTTCTGACTTCTTTTCTTGAGGAAGCATGTAAGGACATTAGTGATGGTTATATCTATGCATATAATTGACAATACAATCGGACTGACAGAGCTGAATAGCCCTTCCTTGTCAATGATTAGCTTAAGCCAAAGATCAAGATCAAAACAGAGGGTGCCCATTGATGAGTCCACCCCTGAGAACAAGAGGAAAGGTCACCATTTTTGCAATGTGGGCTCACATGTTATAGTGTCTGTTGAAGGACATGGCACATTTAACAGCATCAGAGCATTCCTTATTAAACTTTAATTACCATGTGCTTCTAATGCTGAAGAATGCCCACCTAAGGAGGGGTGATGGGCTGAGACAGGGACAGAGAGAACTCGCAGTCCTTAGTGAGCTTCCATGCAGTTGAATGCTCTTGGAAATGCCTGATCTATCTGCTGAGAAACATGCCACCCCCTGGGAGCAATGACCAGGGTTTCAACTTTAATGCCCAAAGTCTTAGAGCTGCGAGTACCATCAGGTTAATGACACCAGGGTTAAAGGGTACTATGAATATTTATCCATTGACCTAAAATCACCTCTATTTCAAGAGTCTTGGGGAACTTGACAAGGGAAAGAAAAGAGACACTAGTCACTCATCTCTCTCCAGTGGCTTGTTACATAAACAGGCGCCAGTCGAGAGTGTATCTATAAAGGAAAAGTTACATGTGTGACCTTATTCAAGGAAGTTCATCATAAGAGATATTCCAGAGAATTTAGCCCAGCAAAAACGTGTTCATTCTCATAAGTAAATACTTGTTTTATTATTTTTCTCATTAAAATTTCTGGGTAAACAGTTGCCCAGATGTTGTTTCCTCTCTTTCCCCTAAACACATACAGTTGTGGAAAAAGGATGGTAGGGGAGGAAGTTATACATCACCACACACCACACACAAGAAAGCATGATCAAGAGATGCGGGCACCTGACCAGTATGCACAAGAGTACGACTCCTCTCAAACTTCTACACAGTGAAGGGAAATACATCATTCAAACACAGAAGAAGCTTGCAACTCATTCTGTTACTTGTCAGCTAACCCTGGCAGGATAGTAACAGGAATTTACTGTGAGGGATTATCTGGCTTGTCTATGATATTCTTGCCTACCCTTGTGTGCATGGTCTTTGTTCCCTGGACACGTGGTTCGGCACACACACTTCCAGAATCAGTTCAGGATTTCAGCCTCCTCTTATTCCAAAAGGAGCATTCTGCCAGGTAGCCTAAGCCCTAGAATCCTTTCAAGTTCTACCCGCCAGCAGCAGCCCTGCGCTAGAGTGCAGTGGTTAACAAGATAGAATCCCCCCAGAGTCAGGTAGACCTGGGTTCAAACCTAAATCTTCATGCCTCTAATCCTCTGTGTCCTTGTTTGTAAATCTGAGACTACAGCCATGTCATGGGGTTGGTGTGAGGGTTAAATGAGATAACGGGTATCTCATGCTTTATGTGGTGCTTAGAACACATTAATGCTAAATAAGTGTCATCAATGTATTATTATCTGTACTATGAAAGCAAGGGTGTGCTGACTCACACCCTCAGATGTTGGCTGGATTTAGCTTTTTCTCCCGGGAACATTCCTGATTTCCCAGAAGTGCTTTCAAGGATGTACTGTTTCCCAAAGTGCCCGGAAAATACTGGGGATGCGCGCCTCAGGTCTTATAAAGGCAACAAGTTGGAGCCTTACCCTATAGCTATCCTCAGCCCTGGTTGGGGCCTGGCCTACAGGCAAGGCTGCTGTAGGCTGAGGCTCTTTGAATGTTTTGAATAAATAGGTCCCCAGGCTGGAGTCTGGAGGAAAAGACTTAAAAACAATTTTTCACAAGAAACTGAATAGTGTTTTCAGGCAAGCCCTGTTGTACGGGGCAAAAGCCCACTGTGCTGGCCCCACGAAATCTGGCTGCCTTGCACATACTTTAAAATGAGGCGCTTTTTTCCTCCTTTGCAGTGTTTTAGCTGGTTATTTGCCACTTCTCCCTGGGTCCTAGTTCTTGTGAGGAAGGTGCCAGAGACCAGAGGTGCCCTGGCAATTTTGCATTTCACAATTCGAAGCTTTGGAATGAAGTCACCAATTCACTCTATCCAGACTACAGAGGAATTATTCCTTTGCTTTGCTGGAAATTGGAGTAAATCTTCCCATCTATCAATTTCAATGATCGGCAGTTGAGTTGAGAAGTCTTATTGGAGATCAGGTTAGATCATTTCAAGTCCACGTGGAAGAGAAGTACCAGGTGGACCATCAAAAGCATTGCTTCAAGAGCATGCTTCTTAAATATATCTGATCTCAAAAATAATGAATAGTTATTACAAATGTATGCCCAGACATTTTCCAAAGGCTTATCCTTTGAAGAAGTCTTGGGGAGCTTCTTGTAATTGATTTAGGGAATCTCTTCATTCTGACACCTTGCAGGTATGTTAATGGCAGGGACCATACTGTATTAATTTTGTAGGCCCGGGGCCTAAACATAGTAGCATTAATCCATATGTAGGCTTAGAATATTTTTAAGAAGACGCAGAACAGTGTCTTCCATAAAATCAAACTGAAAATTACAGCAAGCATGCAACTGACATTATTAATATCTACTTTAAACCCAAAGAATATAAGAGCGTCTCCCTTCAAACTAATAAGCAGTTTCTTCCAATTCAGCCTCTCCTCTCTCTCAGGAAGAAGACGCGTTGAACATGTTCCCACTGCAGATCGCTGGGGTCAAGACGCTAACCCGTGTGTGCTTCTGCAATAACCTTTCCAATTTGCTGGAGCAGTGCAAGATCAAACACAGGGTGCTCTCAGGCCTCGGTGTCAGGGAACACCGTGACACCTGGATTGCGAGTGGAGTTCATTCCTTCCCAGCAGACTCTGCATTTCAATGTCAGGGTTGGGCGCACCCCACTCAGAGGTGCCAAGGAGCTAAGAAGTCCGAGAATGCTCAGCATGTTCCACCACAACCTGTCTGGCAAGGTGCTTGGTGAAGGTTGCCATTCAGGCGAAGGATCCCAGGCCCTCTGAGTAGCAAAGTGAACCTTGTGCTGTGTGCTCAGAGAGATGTTAATAAACAGCGCTGGGCAGAGCAGAGCCGAAAGGTGCCTTGGGGATGCCACCGCGAGAATGTGGCTGTCCCAGCCGCAAAGCCCTGTGAGGAGACACGGCGTAGCCCTGGCTGCCCTAGAACCAGGCCTTGGACATTTTCAGAAAACCTGCGTGGTTGTCTGGAATAACTGAGGGAGCAGATAGAAGCGATATTTGGAAACCCGCAGGTGGTTGCTATGGGTGGTGTTTAATAACGTAAGTGCTTTCCCCCTTCTCATTACCATCACTTATGCCAAGCCAAGAATTGGTCTCTGGTATCCTAAAAGGATGCTGTGGGGCACTCCCACAGCAATATGCTCATGGCACGGTGGCAATTTAAGTGGAGAAGACGGACCATATAGAACAATGATCTGTCTATAGCACGGTGGTTTTTTCTTGTTGGGGCCTAAAAAACCATCAGGGCACCTGAGGAAGTCCATCATACCTTCATTCACATTTCATTATTGATATTTTATTATGGGCTATCCCCCCTCAAATGGTCTCCAAACCAAATCAAAGGGCAAGAAAAAAAACACACCAAAAAACATAGTAAAGGGACGCTTAAACCCAGAAAGCACACCCAAATGCATTCTGCATTCGTTTAGCCGAGTGGGAACGACCAAAGGAAACAGCCATTCTCTCCCGTTCCTGGCTGGAAAGCCACGACTATTCCCAGGAGTTGTCTATGGCTCCACACGTCCTCCTCTCCCGCCCTCCTCCCAGGAATGCTGATCCCAGCTCAGTGGGGCTGAGTTTCCAGGGGGACAAACTACTCTAACACTGAACTGCTTGGGACGGGAATGAAAAGTCAGCTCTGAGGACAGTGTTTCTATGCAGACAGCTGTCTGGGGAAGCGGGCGCTGACTAGTGAAGGGGCAGGGAGCACAGACATCACACCAGCAACGAAGCAGGCGAAGCACCGCTAGCTGCAGACACAGGGACTGCTGGGGGCGGGTGTGAAGCACAGGGTGGCGGCGGTGAGTGGGCTCTGGGCAGGGGCCCGCCCGGGGGGCGCTGAGCAGGAGGGTGAGTGACTGAGTGTGCTGGGTGCGTGAAGAGAAATTTTGGGGGAAGCAGAAGAGAGAAGGTGCTTATAAATGTTAAATAACACTGAATTCGGACTTGCCATTTGGAGAATCCCAAACCCACAATCTGGATAAAACATGAAAAGAAAAGAAAAAGCTGGGGGTGTTAGTAGATTTTATTCAGATGTGTGGGTTTCCGGGAATGGTAAAATAATTCATTGATCGATTACCTGTCTTATTGTAAAATCTAGAAAGAAAGAGGATGATAAAAGTCTGCCACGACTCGAACAGCAGCTGTTATGGGACATATCGAATTCTAGGTGCACACAGGATACCACTGGATGAAAAGTTCCAGATGGCCTATGTAGTGTTAATCCCAATTTTGGTGGGGTCCAAATATTTCATGCTCTGAGATTCGCTGGCATTTTCCACGTAGAAAAGTCTCTTCCAATTTATTCCGAAAGGGTGTGCACTGAAATGAGTAATTTCTCAACTGCCCCAAGGCACACCCGAGAGAGGCCTATCAACACCATGGGCAATTTTCATCATCCTCTTGCAGTTCTAGAACAGTGTGGAAACCAGGAGAATAAGGTACCTGCTATGTGGACTGTTGACAGAGGGTCCAGGCTGTGAGAGACTACATTTGCCTCGTGGCTGTTTGCAATGAACAGGGGGTAAAGAAAGAAGAATGTTCAGTCCAGGCAAATAAAGACAAGCTACTGATGAAAATTAAACTAAAAATGCAGCAAAGGAAAAACAAATCAAATGAAATGATCGGTACCCATGATTAAGGAAACTGGCTTTTCTTTTGCGGAAGAAACGAGATAAATTTACATCGATGTTATTGGTCATCGAAGGGACATAAATTGTGGTTGGGAAGTCCACACCACAGTGGGCATATTTTCTCCTCCCACATTTCATGGTAGAAACTAAAGTGACCATATGCTAGCCAAGCATCTCTGTATACTTACAATAAAAATAAAGTTCAGCCCTGGCTTGTGTGGCTTAGTTGGGCGTAGTCCCACCCACCTAATGGTTGATGGTTCAATTCCCAGTCAGGGCACAGGCCCATGTTGCAGGATCAATCGCCAGTAGGGGGCATGCAGGAGGCAGCCAATCAATGTTTCTCTCTCCCTCTCCTTTCCTCCCTCTCTAAAATTAATAAAAACATATTTTAAAAAATAATCATAAAGTTCAATATACCATGCCACACCATATTTTTTCATATCTTCTAGAAAATAGTACCAAAATTCTTGATAGATAAAAAAAATAGTAACAACAGTAATAGGAAATTATTCTTCGTAAAGTGATGAAGACCCAACAAGTTAAAGACTCAAGTTACATAAAGACTAAAATTTGAATTGAAAAGCCAGTATTCCTTCACATTCTTAAACTAGGATCTATGGGAAACTAGTGAATGTAGTATGAAAAAAAAAAAAATCCTAAGGAAAGGTCATAACATTTATCAGCATAGAACTTGTGTTTATCACAACAAAAATTACAAATTAATGCTTCTAAAAACTAAGGACAATGGGATGATAATAAAAATGAATATAATCATAAAGCAGGACAAAAAAAATAACAAAAACAAGCTTCTAATTACACAGAGAAATCAAGGTATAGAGTGTAGCAGGGGCTGACTTTGCTTCTGTGTGCCAGTGCGGCAGCCCCCACAGGCCCTGTGGGTGAGTCACCCTACGCTGTTGCCATTTTGGGGGCCGCACAGTCACTGAAAACCTTCAGGACCACTCAGGAGCTTCCTTGCTTGAGAGTCAATAGATCCTCCACTTATCTTATCCATTCCATGGCCTCACGGGCGCCTTCGCCCACCTCTGGCGGAGGCACCCTTTTTGGTGGAACCTGGTTTTTTAGGTGGGCGGTGGCAGTGGTGGTTTGAAGGGAGGAGCCACCAAAGGGACCAGGGAACATCATTCTAGAGATGGCCCTTGGAGCAAGAAAAATAATGTGTCTCCCTGCACACCAACCCCACATGGAGCCCTGATTCTTTGGAAAAACAGAACCACTCTTTTCTGTTCCTGAGCGCAGGTGACGAGGGCACGTGGCAGGGTTGAGGAAACAGCGCTTCACTGGGTCACTGAGTGACACCCTTGTCTGTATGGGGATCCCTGCTTTGTCGGGGGGGAGACCCTGTGGACCCTGGTAGGTACAGATACTGTCACTCTCCAGTGTCCCTTCCCATGGGCCAACGACCAGCAGAAAGTTACCGTTCTCTGTCTGTTTGGGGTGCTTCTCCCTGACGTAGGACTCAGAGATCCCGAGGTGTCCAGTTCATCAGCAGAAGACCAGGAGGACAGATCCTACGTAGGAAATAGATTCTTTTGATGATTCCACGTCCCAGAGCCAGATGGCTCTGTAACACACAATGTGCTTCCTATCCCATCCCCATCCATCCCCCATATAAATCAAGCCATTCACTCCTTGGGAAAAGTAGAATCCGACAACTACAGGAAGATCGGGACCTAGGTCTTCTTGTGTATTGGGTTTTCCTGGCTGTTTGTCCCTTTTGGAAAATACAGCTACAGGGTCATTCTTACTGTGTCACATATAGATTTATTATTTCTCAGTGACATGGATATAAGTGAGTCTAAGTGCAGGAGGGGAAGGAATCTGTCTTAGAGCTGCAGGTCGCTCAGGCCAGAGAGACCAATTCATTTGAGTTAGAAACGAAAGTCTCCCAGGAGCCTTTGAGATCAGAGAAAACGTGTCGCTTCCAGCACTGCTGTTGCTTGCAGTAGACTGTTCTTTGACATTCTGAATGGAGGGCACAGTGCTTGTGTGTTCATACAGTATTTCACAGCGGAATGAAGTTTTACCAGGCACCTCTGCAGCTGCAAATGCACTTCTCCAAACCAATGCCACTCATGATGCAGCAGACCGAAGGAAAAAATAACACAATACATGCGCACAGGACATTTTATATGAATTAACTGCTATTCGTGTCAGGAGAATTCAACCTTTTAGGCTGAATCATATGCAAATAATTGGTTGTGATATATCATGGTTATGGTACAGAAAATACGTGAATTCTTAACTAAACAGGGTAAAATAAAATGTCACAGTAGTGGTGATGTGAGGTTAGCAGCGACAATTACAGGAGGTCTTCTGGGTGGGACAGTATCAAAAGCAGTGTCCTATTATAAAAGTTTGTAAGTCCTGCCCAGCTGGTGTGGCTCAGTGGTTGAGCATCAACTTATGAACCAGGAGGTCGCAGTTCGATTCCAGGTCAGTGCACATGCCTGGGTTGCTGGCTCGATCCCCAGTGTGGGGCGTGCAGGAGGCAATCAATGATTGTCTCTCATCACTGATGTTTCTATCTCTCTCTCCCTCTCCCTCTCCCTTCCTCTCTGAAATCAATAAAAATTAAA